TATTATCGACTTTACTAACCATTAGTTCTTATTTATTCTTTATAGACTTTGCCCTTTTTGGTTTCTTTTTCATCATTATATCCAAACTCATTTCTCTCATTTGAATTGACAATTAGTAATTTTAATTGAATTTATCATTTAAAGCAGGAGATAGTATATTTTAATATTCTCGATCTTTCTTTAATTTAACACAAAGTTATTAAAACGAGTAAAACTTAGCTCGTTCAGTTCTTATTTTCATGACTGTTATTAGATCTCATAAATAAAAACTTGAAATTAATTTTTTTGGCTTTTCTTCTTTGGACATGAATTAAAGTAAGGATTTAGTTATCTTACGCAATTTAAATAAAAAAATGATTCATTTGACTTAAATATTAATTTTTTTAATTTCTAAATATTAGGAGTTCCTATTATAGCAAAACATATTAATTAAATATAAGGTTATGACTATTAAAAAAATAATTAAGTGATAATTATATTTAATGTATAACATGATGTACGTGCTAATCCGTCATTAATGGTTAAAAGGTCTATATTAAAAAATAAAAAGTTTATAGGTCACCTAAAATACTTTGTGCAAATGTGAAAAATTAAAATTAGCACTACTCACATGGACCATAAAAGAAATCTACAAAAAATTGGAATTTAGAAACATGCTTCGTGATTCTTGAGTGTTTAATTTTAGAAAAATAAAACGATGACAAAACTTTGAAGAAAAGCTTTCATTACAACTCGTAACATGTTAAAACTTAAAATCGTGAATAGTTACATGATTTAAACAATGAAAAAGTCTATAGAAGTAAAATCTTACTCAATTTTAAATTTCTAAATATTAGGAGTTTCTATATAGTTTAAATAAGGAAGGATTTAATAAATAAAATTTAGTTGATTCTAAATTTCTACATATTATGAAAATAATGAAAATACAATTACAATTTTGTCTAATGTGAAATTTATTTTTAAAGGGTAAAAAAGACGAACGACATTTCGCTAGGGCCTTTGTGCTTTTAATATAATACTAGTTTTTGTGTACGTGCGTTGCACGCGTGGCTCGCGCTAATCAATAAAAAATATACTACCTCCGTCTCAAATTATTTGTCGTACTTTCTAAGAATAGTTGTCTCAAATTATTTGTCATTTTAGAAGTTCAAGATAAAATAAATTATATTTTTTCTATTTTACCCTTAATAATTATTCTTGACGATGGAGATAACACATAAATAAAATAAATATTCCATGAAGAGAGTCTATGTTTTAAGACATATATAAACAAGGGTAAAATACTCCAAACCCCCTCCTAATTAATTTTTCTTAAGGGGTGGGTAAAAGAGAAACACAACAGATAATTTGACACAGAGAAAATATATAAGAAACACAAATTATTGAAAATAGCAGTTGACGCTAAAATAAGTGCAACAATTTCTTAAATGCTAAAAAAATTAATGTTATACCTTGACATATTAATTGCATCCAATATATGCTAAACTTACAAAGACAATAAAAGTATTTTAAAAAATAAAAGAATTCTCATAATATTCATTATGATTGAAGAGAGATATGGTGAGCGTTAATTGTCTAGATCACGAATAATAAAAAAAAAAAAATTCTCTAACGGCAATGTAAAATACATGGAGCTGTCATCTATTGTAACAAATGCAAAAGGAGAGAAAAATAAATGACAAATAAATAAATTATATTCTATTCGTTTTATCCTTATTGCATCAAGTTTGTATTATTTTAATTTGGCTCTTAATAGTCAATACTACATCATCTATTTTGTTTTATTTTTTTGATTGCTTTAACCACAAATTGCTCTTTTTTTAAAACCAACTTTATGTACTCTAAGAGGTTTTTCAACTTGATTTTTTTCTATTTAGAAAAGAATTGGCTGGCATTATTTTGTTAATTAGTTAATTCAAAAACTTAAATTTTTGTTTTCAATAAGGAAATAATTTATTTTTTATTGATTCAAATTCTTGATATTGGCTCATCATCTCAATAAGGATTATTTTGTTATTTTTATTTTTGGATATTGTATTTGCAGAATCATGAGTGTTAGCAAATACTACTTTTCTAGTCTCTTTCGCCCCTTCTCTGTTTATCTTCTATATTTTTAAAATATTATATGCCATTTGTTTTAATTATTGAGTGTAATTTAAATATATTATACATAAAAAATTTGCTAAATAGAAAAATATTGTTTAATTTGGAGAGAAAAGTAGTTCAAATATAATATGAACTTTTATAGTTCACATATAATAACATGAAAAGAATTATGATTATATTACATTATTCAAATAAAAAAATAATTTATGTAAGACAATAAAAGAAATATTAATCGGTTTTAAAGTCCAATATAAAGATTTAACAAAAAAATTAGGTGCAAGAATGTAAGACCCATTTTACCTAAGACCCGGAGTTTCGTGGTGCCGAAGTAGGTTTATGTGTTGGCGATTGTAGAGATTCTTCGCTGCGAGCTTGCGAACCGCGATTCGGATTTTTTGGGTTGAACACTGCGTTGGGGAGTTGAAGAAAATTTTTGAAAATGCAGGGCATTTCTGCGGTCCACTCTGCGATCGCAGAACGGATATGCGGATCGCAGATCTGCCGCAGATCAAAGTAGAAAACTGGGGCAAAATTTTGGACCATTATGCGGGCCGCATAACTCATCGTAGACCCAACATGAAATTTTTCGGAGGGGAGTTATGTGGCGCATTGTGCGACCACAGAATTGGTCTGCGGACCGCAGACTGATCGCAAAGTGGGGCAGAATTGCCCAGTTCCGGAGAGTCATTATGCGGCCCATTTTGCGGACCGCATAAGCATTATGAGGTCGCATATGCGACCGCAGATCTGTGACGGGGCTCCTATTTTTCTAATTTTTGAACCCGACCCCATTCTTATAAAACACCCTTGGGGATCATTTTAAAAGGGAAAAATATATATTCCTAGAGAGAGGGAGTGACATAGAGTGAGAGGGGAAGTTCCTAAGCTCATCATCCATCAATTCTTGCTCAAATTGAAGAATTTGCAAGGAGAATTCACTAGGTCTCCATCCTAGAGGTAAGGTTCTGCTTCATAGCCCTCAATTTCGTGATCTTAATTATAAATATGTAATAAGCCAAGCAATTTTTAGGTGTAGGAGTTGTTTATTTTACATTCATGTACCATCTAGGGTAGTGGGAAGATTATTGAGCTCTTTTGGGTGAACTTTGGGTAGTGAGGTGAAAGAATCCACCATAGGAGGATATTGAAACTTTAATGCACACCTAATGTTTGATAAAATGCTTAAGTGAGCTGGAACTATGAACTCCTTCCTAATTTGTGTTCAATTTTGCTATTTCTCTAAATAGATCAAAGTGGCTAGGATTTCCGGAATATTGTAGTAAATTAAAAAGGTCGAGGCGAGGTATGTTGGCTAAACTTCTCTCTTAGAATTGAATTTCCACGATGTTCTAGTAAGTCCCGAGTTGTCTATTACGAATTAACTTTTATGAATAAATTTGGTGTCGAAAGATGTATTTATATGAATATGTTCAAAATGTGTTCCTGAATATTATTATCATGTTATGTTATTCTTCGGGAGCGTGTTCAAAGTATGAGTATGTATTAAAATGTCGTGACCTTAAGTCAAGCCCAAATGAAGACGATCATATCAAATTGTGTAAGAAATCATATGTGGCTAAGACCCTAAATTGCTCAAATGTATGCTTAAAGTCTTGGATAGAAATATTTGTTGTTGACAATCCGTGTTTATGTTTGAAAGTGGAATAGTGAGCATGAATTATGAAGTACGGCCAATGTGCCGAGAATGATATTACGTTATGGCCAATGATGCCAATAAAATGAATGACATGTAAAAGAATATGAACTGAGTGGTAAATACTTTTGATAATAAATATCTTGGGAGTATCTTTTAGCCACCGAGGAAGGGTAGTTTAACGATCCGGCCGGTCGTTTTAAGTATTACAACCCCATTTCCCCATTTACTTCTCAATTAGTGTTTTACATTTGTTATATGACTTACCGGAGTAATTAGTTCGGGTCCGGTGAGGTCTTGGAATGAATTGAAACACTTAATTCCAAAGTTTAAAACTTAAGTTGAAAAGTTTGGCTGGATGTCGACCTATGTGTAAAGTTTTTATGATTTCAATAGCTCCGAATGGTGATTTTGGACTTAGGAGCGTGTCCGAAAAATTATTTAGAAACCCGTAGCTAAATTAGGCTTGAAATGGCTAAAATAGAAATTTAAGTTTGAAAGTTTGACCTGGGAGATTTGATAGGTTTCAGCATCAAATGTAGAAGTTGAAATTTTTTAGTTTCATTAAACTTGAATTGGGGTATGATTCGTATTTTTAGCGTTGTTTGATGTGATTTGAGGCTTCGACTAAGTTCATATGATATTTTAGGACTTGTTGGTGTATTTAGTTGAGGTCCCGGGGGCCTCGGGTGAGTTTCAAATGGTTAACGGATCAAATTTGAACTTAGAACAATTGAAACTTGGTGCTGCCTACCGATGCAATCGCACATGCGAAAAATTGGCTCGCAGGTGTGAGCTCGCAGAAGCGAGCCTGAAATTGCAGAAGCGTGCGGTCTGCAGAAGCGGACGAAATATCCCAGAAGCGACCACATGGTCGCAGATGCGGCCTGGGCTAGGAGTGCATTGGACCGCAGAAGCGAGAATGGCGCAGAAGCGGTTAAAAGTTCCGCAGAAGCGGAACCTCTGGGCAGTGTACAAAATAGAGGGTTCCGATATTTTTGTCATTTTGGATATTTTCAACACGACTTTGGGCAATATTTCAGAGAGAATTCACGGGAAATCTTGGGATCAGTTACTTGTGATCATTGTTAGTCAATAATATTGGATTATCATTGAGTATTTCGACTAGATTATGTGTTTTTGAGGATTTATGTAACACCCCGGAAAATTTCGAAGTACTTAAGTGTAAACCCGGGTAAAATTTGCAAAGAAAATAATGTTTTACGGTGCCAGACTAGGCTTACGTGTTTGAGGATTGTAGCTCACCGCGGCTCGGATCTTTTGGGTTGAACAATGCACCGGAAAGTAAAGGAAATTTTTTGGCAAAAAAGTGCGNCATGAGAACATAGTCAGATGTCTGAGAAGGATTAGCTAAGAGAACTGCTTTCCTGATAAAGGTCCATGGTTCATCAGTGTCGTTGAGTTCATAATAATCTTCAGTGGTATTTTGATGGGACAATTCGATCTGAACACCAGAGAAGGGATGTAACAGACTGATTTTACCCTCGTCTTTTCCAACTGTGATAAGCCATCCCATAGACTCCACACATCGTTTTCCACTGGCTCCCGGAATTCGCTTCTTCAAAATCATGCCATTATAGAGACTGAAGAATTTTCTACAGGTGTTATCATCCTCCTCCTCAGCTAACATCAGCCACGGAATCCTAGGCAAGTCACTGTTAAAATTGGCCTTAGTGGCCACATAGTGCCACGATTTGCAGACCATGCCGAAATTAAGGTAGTCTTCAATCAAATTTAAACGTCTAACTACTAGAACCAGAAGATCATGTTGAAGGTCCGACCAATCAGCCACATCTTGCAGTTCCGCCATACAACAACAACAACCCAGTGAGATCCCACAAGTGAGGTTTGGGGAGGGTAGTGTGTACGCAGACCTTACCCCTACTCCGGAGGAGTAGAGAGGCTGTTTCCGGTAGACCCTCGGCACAAGATTGCAGTTCCGCCATATTATCACAAATTCTGTAAACAGAGTTTGGCATGAATTTCACTTTTGGTGTAGTTACAGTTCTAAATTTCAAACACGACATCTAAGGCAAATAGATACTCCCTTCGTTTCAATTTATATGACACGTTTCACTTATTAATCCGTTTCAGAAAGAGTGACACATTTATATATTTGGAAATAATTTAACACTTTTTATTTTATCCAATTTATCCTTAATGAGAAGTTTTTATAGTCATCCAAATTGAGAGCCCCGCAAAAGCTTTACCTTCTAATAGACCATAAGTTTCAAAAATCTCTTTTATTTTTTTCTTAAACTTTGTGCTAAGTCAAACTAAATCACGTAAATTTAAACGGAGGGAGTAAATGAGAGAAATACACAATTAGAAAATACGAGTAATCGTCATTGTACATCAGTATATGACGCCAGTAAACAAACACCTATCAGTGGAAGCAAACAACTAAATGAATCATTAATTGAATCCATAAAGTAGGGTTTAATTAGCGACCTCGTTAACACAAAATTTTTCTATAACATTCAAATATGCACGAGACAGCATATGCAAGTACAATTAGATTTTCAGAAATTAAATTTTCTCACCCTTTTTTCGAACAGCTTCGCCGGCGGCCACCAAATGGGACACTTCTCAGGCTGAAAATCTCAGCCTATAAATAATGAGAGGAGAAGAGGGAAATTAGAGGGAAAAAAAGGAGAAGAAGATGGACTTGGGTTTGTAGTTGAATTGTTTTTCAAATCCCTAAAAAAGAGTGAAAAAGAATTGGCGCTGGGTTGAGACTTGTGTTTGAGCGACCTATGACAAATAAAAATATTTATAGCGAAATTTGAAGGTTTCGCACAAATTAATTGAAAATTTTAGACCATAATCTAATAATTAAACTACTTATAGAAAATATTAGTCTAAAGTTGTCAGCAAACACTAGCTCAAATTGCTATAGGCCAAATATAATTAAAATAAAATAGAAAAGAACAGTAGCTCCAATTCTCCATTTTCCAATTCTGTAACACCTGAATCATATTTATAGCCCGTTTGGCCAAGCTCAAAAAATCAGCTTATTTTGAGAATTATTTTTTTCAAAAATACTTTTGGTGAGAAGCAGTTTGTATTTAGCTAATTAATTTAAAAAGTACTTCTAAGCATCAATTAGTGTTTTGCCAAACTTTTAAAAAGTGTTTCTAAGTTTATTTTTCTCAAAAGTGTTTCAGGGAAGAAACTACTTTTTTTCTGCTTCTCCTCAGAAACATTTTTTTTCTCCTAAAAACTTGGCCAAACACTTCAAATTTGAAAAAAAAAACATTTTTTTTGAAAATAAATGTGCTTTTTAATTTGAAAAAACTTGGCTAAACGGGCTATTAATACATAGAAAGGATTACAAAGATAGACAAAATATAAACACCGGCATAAAAAGGGATTATTTGTGCACTTTCCGCCTTTTAAGTTGGCTAAACCCCAGGGCAATAACGTAGGGTTTTAGAGAGGAGAATCATAATTTTCATGCAGAGAGAAAAATGAGGAGATCACCAGCGGTACTAACTACTTAGTGTAAAGAGTAGAACATTTCTCATAGCAAATCAAAACTTACATGGTTATGCATTTCTTCCTAGGGTACTACTCAGTAATCGTTCATCTGAATATAATGTGTTTAATGCTAAAAATCTTAAAAATTAAACTCATAGGATTTAAATTTTGGATCCGCCTCTGTCTTTGATATTGGTTCTAATGACAACGTTGAAAAGGTTGAGGAAATAGATATGGAGGACGACGACGTGAGTGAGTATTCAAGACATATTTATATACTCTGTTTATGGTATGCATAATGCACCTGAGAATTCCTATTCTTTGTGGGATTTGGTGAAGCAGATTGGAGAAAAGAAGGCTGGGATCTTGTTTGTGTTGGTTTTAGCTAAAAAATGGTGTGAATGAGAAATGGACCGAGGAAAAAATAAAATTTTGAACTTTTCACCTTTACAAAGGAACATTGTCCTATATTAGACGAAGAAAAGATATTTGGAGGGTTTATATACAATTGCACGTCTTCTATCTCTTAAAAAGTTGAGAAGAAATCAAGCATCGCGTCGTCGTTGTTCGCTTGGCGGCTTCATGCTTAACACATTATTCATATATTTTCAATATTGGGTCGGGGAAAGACTGCATTTGAGAACTTCAATAAGTTTGATGATTTCGAATATCTTTCGGATGTTACAACATACTACAACTTAAATATTAGAGCTTTTTGTAGGCTTTCAAACTTATGACAAATCGAAATTTGGAATTTACAAAGATTTGGCCAACTGCTAGATAAAGATGTCAATGCGAGTTATAAATCACATTTGTAGAATGCTACTTATAAATCGTTCATGTAATGCGACCTATTTGGTAAATATCTAATTATAAATCAATTTGCATTTGACAAATGATCATAAAAGAAGCAAATGCATTTCTGAAGCCCTTTATGTCTTACAGTTAACTGTTTTTATTATCTCGATTTTCTATTTCTGTGGCCCTTTTATTTCTTACAAATTATTAACTATTTAATTGTCTCGTTAATATGAATCAACAAAAGATAGTAAAATGATTATACCGATGGTAAAGAGTACAATTGGATGTCTATAAAGGCTTAGATCGGTGAACTTTATTCAATTCAATTTTCAAATTAGAGAAGCATAATTGTATTTATTTTCTAATATTGTGGATTGTACCAGTAGCATTGCTCCTCTAAGAGAAACTATTTATGAGGTTCCCTTGAAAGAATATTTACTTTAATTTGTTCAGTATAAAAGCCAAGCTTTTCCGGAACCAATTTTTATGTTATGTTCACTATAACATCCAAAAATATTTGAAACAAACGAGGCTGTTGTAGAGAGATTTGACTTTACTACAAAAAAGCTCCTTTCTTGGAGCTAGAACAGGAACTTTGTAAAGGGGTAATAAGATGAACGAGAAATTTTGATCCAATAGAAACTTTCTAGCATAAAGGAGTTCTTTGAGCTTAACAACATGATCGTACTCTCACTATAGGTAAGACAATATGATAAAGCTAAACTTAGATAGTAAAGCACACTAAGAATTCCCCTTGGTACATATATAGAGCAGTTAAAATTGCTAGTACATGATCAGCAAAACTAACTACACTCGATGTGCAGTTGCAAAGCTACTTTTCTTGAACATTCAAAATAACTTAAGTCATACGTCTGCGCTTCTGGGCAAGATTCTCAAAAATCTTATGAACGTCAGCAGATATAACTGGCTTTGATGGATCGAAGGATGCCTGTCAAGGAAATATAAAGGTAAAAGAAAGATCGAGAGCTATATCTCGATTAATTGGGAAATACCAGTTAAACAGTATCAGATAGGGATGAGGGACATACCAGGTAGGTACCGATCTCGTCTTTAAGGTAAGCAATGCCAGTCAAAACCTCCATTTTCCCAACGTGGCCCAGTTTATTAAGCATCTCAGCACTAAGTTCTTGCTCATGTTGAGCTCTCTTCTGCTTTGCCATTTTCTCATATTCTGCAATTGTATCCTCTCTTTCAAGTAAGAAGGCAAGCCCTTTCTGTTTGTAGAATTCTGTGCAATTTGGACACCTACAGAGAATTTCTCTCCAGTCGTTAGAAAGGAACATTGGCTTGCTTTTCTCAAGGCGAATTGGAGCTTCTAACAAGTTCAGTCCAAGGACACATTTGGTACTAGGACCAGCAATTTGGTTACACTGATTCAGAATTGTGTTTGTTGCAACGTTTTCTCCAACAACAGCCTTCCCGGTGAAGTCTTTTTTAGGATTATCCTCAGTTACAGGAGTCTCAATTGAGGAACTTCCACTGTTAAGCTCCTCAGAAGATCCCACAGTCGAGGGTGCATCTTCAACCACCTCCTTGTCCTTCGAAGAGTTTGTAGCAGTGTGCTGCTGAACCGGTGCATATATAGAATGAGGATATAGCTTTAGAAAAGAACAAATAGCTGCGCATCCCTGGCAGATTAAATCCTCAAATTGAGGCTCCCCATTTTCATCCCTTGGAACCTGTAATAAAAGCACAACGATTAGTAGCTTCTTTTAACTAATGAGTCATAAGAGGTAAATTGCAACCAACTTACAGATAAGGAAACAAGTAATGCATTAGACATAAGAAAGCATCTGATCTCATGACTGATAGGGTATACATCCTTCGTGATGAACAAGAATCAAGGAAATAATATGAATGAATACAACATTTTTCAGAAGCTACAATCGACGAAACATCTCAAACTAACTCAGTTTCATAAATCATGAAGTTATCTCACATAAAAAAGAGAGTTGAAAATGATGAGCAAAAGTTAAGCAAGAAGAACAAGGGCCACCAACCATATCAGAGGACTCAAGACCAAGATGCTCCTCATGAAACCAGTCCTCACAGATACACCATTGGAGATTCTCCAATTGGTCTTCAACATCAGGATCAGTATATGGCCGGCAACATGTGCAGTATGAACCTTTGAAATTGTGATTATATGAATTCTCCGTGTTTTCAACATCTTTGCTAGCGTCAAGCTTGCAGAAGAATTCCCCGAACTTTGAATTTCCACAGTCACACCTAAAGTTTCTCTTCGTCCAAAGTTCCAAAATCTTGTTGAACCAACATTCCGAAAATTAAGATTAATATATCTCAATGTAAAAAGTGAGATAGTTAAATTATCACCAGATAGAAGAAAAATATGAAGCAGCAACATAGTACTTGTTGAGGTTTTGTTTTTGAGATGAAATATTCTTAAAATGAGGGTGAATGGGAAATGGAGGAAAAATGAAATTTTGAGTAAAATTTTAAGTTTTCCCCTCTTGACAATGAGACATTGTCCCATATTGGAAGAGGAAGACATTTTTGGTGGGTATATATATAACTGCTCTTCTTGTAGCTCTTAAAGAGTTAAGAAGAAAGCAAGCCTCGCGCCGTCGTCGTCGTCGCTCGCTCGGCTTTTGGATTTGGTCAAATGATCGATTGATTGATTAATTTTTTGGACCAAATTTATTTGTTAATGGACCAAATTTATTTGTTAATAGTAAATATTAACGTAAGATTATCCGCATTTGTAACGGATATTTTCCAATCCATGTATTGACCATTTGGCAACCGCCTAATGCTCTTCCCACCATGAATGTGCTTGCTCCACAAACATGAAGTGCTTGCTCCACAAACAAGCTAATGCTTGCTCCACCATGGAGGGTGGACGTTTGGTCTTTTTCAACACTGGCTGCTATATATATGTGCAGCAGATGTTGAAGAAAGACACAAAAAAACACACAACACACAATTCGCTCAACAAATTGTCTATACATTGCACTCCTTCCTCTCAGCATTTCCATACGATTTTCTGAGTTTATACTCCTTCGT